AGCCTGTCCTCACAGGGGAGGTGCTGCAGCCCCCTGAGCATCTCCGTGGCCTCCCCTGGCCCCGCTCGAGCAGGTGCGTGTCCTTCTGCCGTTGGTGCCCCCAGAGCTGGACACACAAGAGCAGAGTAGAGGGGGCGAGTCCCCTCCCTCAACCTGCTGGCCACACTGCTCTTGACGCAGCCCAGATCACTTTTCCCATCTAAAGTTTGATGCCTTCCTGCTGTTAAGACATTTTATTTTGGCTGCAAGCTTTTACCAGCAGCATCTCTGTCCTATAACCATGCAGATACGCCCTGAGACTTGGGACATCCATCTTCTGCTCCCACCTCTTGCCCGAAGCTCACCCACTTTCCCATTCCCTTAGTTTTAACACATGCAAAATCAGGAACAGTAACTAGAATTTAAAAAGAAGGATGGTGACAGAGGGATGGGTGCTGACATTGCTAGGCTCTGCTCCTAGTCCCATCTGCAAGAGGAACGCTTGGAAACCTGGGGCTCAGGTCCTCGTGGATGTGGGATAAACAAGTCAACCTTTTGCAAAATAAAAACTTTTAGAAGCAAAGACCGGCAACAAGAGAGTTGTAATTCAGCTGTCTTTGTTAAAAAACAAAACAAAACAACCCAAAACATAGAACAACCCAAACATTTAACAGATTTGTTAACCACAGACATAAAAGAATCAAGAAATACTACAAAAAATACATTGCAGGAGACATCTTGTTTTACAAGGCAATTTGATTAAGTTACTATTGGCTGACCAGCACTCAGTCAGTGGTGGAATAGCTGTGTTGACAGGAACACAAACATTGTAAATAGACAGCGCTTACTGTAGAAGTATTAAGACTAAAAGATATTTACCCCTTAAAATAAATAGAATCTCATCTACAGCAACATTTAAATTAGTAAAATATTTTTAAAGCAACCAAATATAACAAAATTGTAAATCAGATCTAGATTTTCTTCTGTATGTTAAGATCCTTTTTTTTTTTTTCTGCGTTTTTAAAAAAAACCAACAAAAATACAAACTTTAGAAGAAGGGTATCTCTGGAAAGTCAGATTATTCACTAGAAGTGAGTTTCACCCTCCTTTTGTTCTGTGGGGCAGCGCAAGGTCTGGGTACCACTTAAAATTCTTCCTTCGCATGGATTTGGGTGGGACGCAGACCTCACCCTGTCCTCTGAACAAATAAGGATTTCCCCCCCCGCCCCCCCACCCCCCAAAATGTGAAATTCATCCCAGCACAGGAGATGCAGCCAGACCCCACAGTGCCACGTCCTGCTGCCTGGGATGCAGGAGAGCACCCGAGCACTTGCAGAGCCCCTGCACCGAGATGAACGTCACCCAGCGGGAATAATTTAGGTGTAGATATAAAGTCTCTTTTAGGCCATTTAAAAATTAATTCAATAGTTAAAAAAATATTTTTATTTTGTCCTCCTTAACACTTCCAACAGCTGGAGGAAGAAACACCCCTTCTCACACAAAGAACAGGGGGCTAAAAGCAAAGAAATAATCCTCTGGGTATCGGTTACTTAAGGGTGACTGAACCCGAGCTATGTTTCCTACGACTGCATCACACGGGCGAGAGCATCTGCACCAAACTGGGAGCTCTTGGTTCCATCAAGCCCAGCAGCATCCCACGCACCCCCCCTCCCCATCAGCTGCTAGTTCCAGTTTGGACTGTGTAAACTGGGAAGAAACTTCTCAAGTATGAGCCAAACCAGCGTAAGGCCGGCCAGCTGTAACTCCTCAAGAGCCACCAGAAATGAAGAGCCCCTCGAGCATCCCTCAGCGCCGAGGTCTCGTGGGGTGCCCTGGCATGGGCCAGCGCTCCAGCGGAGGCGTGGGAGCAGGTTCCAATCACCGCAGGGAGCCCCCGCTGCTGCGCTCCCTGGTTGGCAGCCAAGTGTGGCCAGTTTCAGCCACGCCAGCCCAGCCTGCAGCCGGAGACACTCGCTGGGCTCCCAGGGCCAGCACAAGGCTGGGATTCAGCGTGCGGGGCTGTGCCGAGGTCGTGGCGCCGGCCGGCAGACCTCAGCATGAGCCCCGGGGGAAGCTGGAGCCATCGCAACCCGGGGCTGCCCTTTCCCAAACTGCAGGAGGAAGCTTTGTTCCAGCTCTTTCTCAATGGCCACTGTTGCCTTCCCCTTTGATGTCATTAGAAATGGAGTTGTGCAACTGGTTGATGAAAAAGCTGGCATCCCACAAGAACAGCCCCAAACAGCCAGTGTTGCATAATGACAACATTTGGCTGTTTCCTTCTTCTTTTTTTATTTTTTTTTATTTATTTTATTTTTTTATTCAAGCCCAAGAACACTAGCCTCGGCTGTAGGCACAGGTACCTTCCCAGACTTCAGCTCACAATCACCTTCCCTGTGATTCCCTGCAGCCAGACCGGGACTCTGCCACTGCAAACATATCTCCATGGTTGGGAAATCGTGGCTGTGGGGATCCGCTCTTGAGGCAGACCCACAGCAGAGGAGCCCATGGAGGAGCCCAATTTATTCCCCTGCCTGAGCCACCCACAGGGAGAGGTCTCAGCAGACAACAAAGCCACTTCTTAGGAGTTTCGATCCACTTGAAGGGTCTTCAAAGTTTGTTCAACAGTGACAGAGTCCCTTTGAACTTAGTATCCACAGAAGGTGCCATTAAAAACAAAAGTGTTTACCAAGACACAGTATCTGAGATGGAAAACACTACAAATACTGCAGGAAGTATTAAAAAAAAAAAAAAAGAAGAATCCACCCAGGATGACTTAAATACCCCATTTTTGGCCGGGAGCATCTTGCAGGGCCGAGCAGGGCTGGTTTGCCCCTCAGTTGGGAAGAAGGTTTCTCATTTAGAAAGAGGAACCCCACGGGTAAGGAAGCGCCTGGCCGCCGGCTCTGCACGCCCCTGCCCTGCTGTTTAGCAATCCCCACGGGATGCTCTTCCATGAACACCCCCAACAACCGACTGCCTGGGACTCTAAATACTTCAAACCAAGCTAAGAAGAACGATAACTGAAAGTGGGCGTTAGTACAAGGACCAGGGGACTACTGTGGCACGGCCATCCCTTGCAGAAACCCGCAGCCACAGCAACACAGTTGGACTCGATGATCTTAAAGGTTTTTTCCAACCTCAATGATTCTGTGATTCCACTGACATGACCGCTCTGGCTGTATTTGCAGAACACTGTCCTAGGAAATAGATCCATGTGGTACCTCCTTGAACTGTAGCTGTTTAGGAAAGCAAACTCACGGTCGCTGTGGTTCTATGTGGCCTTTGTGGTGGGTCACAACAGGCTCGACAGAGCACAGGCAAACAGAGAAACAACAGAAAAATCCCACATCCAGTGCTGGGAACGATGAGAAATTTTCTGTGAAGTCTCTGTTGCTTCCCTCGCCCTCTGTGACACATCTCATTCCACATTTGAGAAAAATGAGCAGCAAGGAAGTCTTACACGGGGACGTATTTGCTCTTTTTCCATACCAAAATCCAGCTGAACATGGCAAGCCCCTGGGGGCAGCAGACACTCCTGGTTGTTGATCTGAGTTACAAGCTGTCATGCTGGACAGCAGATGCTCTCAGCAGCAGTTTCACCCGTTGGAGGAATGATTGTGTCTTCTTTATAAAATGAAATTCAGTTTTACCCCCTTACTCATTATCTCCCTAACTGCCAGGAAAAAATAACCCAACCTCTTACAGCCATGTCACCAAGCTCTGGTGGAGGGGAACTATCAGGGTCAACGAATCAGGGATAAAAGAAATCAAGTTTTTGAAAGGTAAACTGAGATGCGAGCTGCGGCTGACCAAATTCAACATTTTTGTCATTCTGTGCTGGTACCTGGTTCAGTTTCTTCCTACACCTCTATTGCCAGGGAGATGCTGGCGAGATCATGAAACATATGGTATCAGTGCCAGAGCCAGCAGGTTAGTACAAGAGAAAGATCTTTAGCAGCGAGTGAAAAATCACGAAAATTTATAAAAAGCAAGCAAGCGAGTTAAGGATTTAATTAAGATCAGTTAATTAATTAAAAAATATTTCTCAGTGTGACATCTCCTCTTTAAAACCAGTGTGAAAGGTTCACCAAGAGGCTTAGTGATGGTCTCCATCACTGATGAAACTCGTTTAGAGATGTGTCCAAACCAAGCAATCCTCACTCTGGGAGATTTAAACCCATTTCTGAGCTCTCTGTGGAGTGGGCTTGAGTGCTAATTTACATCGGATTGAGGGGGCTGAGAGTTGAAATCCCTTCCCTTCACATCACAAGTAATTCTGCTGGTGTACGTCAGCACCGAGAGCCCCCGCGCTGAACCCAGGCCCTGCACTGCAGCCAAAAAACCTGCCGACCAAGTGGAAGGTGACAGACTGAGGTTCTGTCCGTGAAACAGGTCCAGCATCAGCAGTGATTTCCCATCGCTACCCTGCCAAAACATCTCAGCCTTCAGCTGGAAGAGGATTGCAAAAATCTGAGTTCAGGTTTTATGGTTCACGACCTTATTTTTATGCAAACGCCTCTCCGCAGGCTCTGGATCCGAGATGCTCCAATTCATTGCACATAGGTCCCTGAACAGCCAGGCACTGCCCACAAACTTTGGGTTCTTCTGCGCTGTAGATCCACCCAAACCAGCTGCAACTCTCCAACAGGTGAACTCACCTCTGGGAGAGCTCGACGCTAACCCCGTGAAGTGACACCTGAGCTGGCCTGGGCATCTCTACACTGTGCTGCCACGGAATAAACAACCTGACAGCAAAAGTTTTCAGCGTGATGATTGTCTCACCTATTCCTCCCGCGCTGCCTCGAAGCGAAGCCAAAGGTTGGCAAAGCAAGAGCAAAGAGCTGCACATAGACACTCGTTGACACAGCCACGGTCATTGTCACACACTTAAACAGAAGCTGCCACCTGCTATAACACACCTTTTTTTTTTTTTTTTTTTTTTTAAAAAA